CCTATAAAGGCGATGAGGAACAATCGGTCAAGTATTAGCTACAGCTTTTCCGTAGTTATCCTTATAAAAAAAATGTCAAGTAGATTATAACTGTTTTAATGAGCCGTTCGCAGTTTCTATATAATAAATATATATATACTTTCACTTGCATGGCTTAATCTTTGAGACAAGCATATGACTACTGGCAAGATCAACCAGGTTACTATATATATTATTAAATTAATACTTAATCTATAAATAAAGGAAAATAATAATGCTAAAATAGCATTATTTTCTCTATATATATAGTAAGTATTAATAATAATATATTTATTTATTTATTGTTTTATTAACATTATTGTTAATTTACTATTGATGTTTTATTATATTACTTTTTTTAACATAAAATTATATTTTATATACATTATAATTTTATGTAAAAAATTATTGCATCCAATTAAATGTAAAATTAAGAAGATTTAATTTTACTAATTGTGATGCTTCTTTGTTATTTCTCAATCAACAAGTATTTAATTGAACAGAAATATCTTACCTTTAATGTTATTTATGCAATAATTATACATAAATAACAATAAAAATTACTAAAACTTATTCCTCCTTATGAAGAATAAATTTTAATATATTGGTTTATTATAATAAAATAATTAAAATAATAAAAAGTAGAAGAATTAAAATAATTCCTACTTAAGTAAACAAAAATCTTCTTATCATTACCAAATAAATAAATAAAATTAAAATTGGAAAAATAAAATTATTACTTCATAATTTTAGTAAAAACAATTCCATCAAAACTAAATACTTATGAAGCATACTAATTTATCTACCCATAATGCATGTCATTTTTGGCTCCAGTGTTATATATTTATTTTTGAAATAAAAAAATATTGACATAAAAAATTCATGTTCATGTTATGTTGTTTTGAAAGGTATTCAAAATTATTACTAGATACATAGAGTATAATATATTTATATCATAATTCTTAAGATTTATGTTATTTAATATGTTTATATATACCAAAAAATGTTTTATAATATTTTTATGTACTATAAAAATACATAGATTTTAAATTTAATACAAAATAACTGCATGCACACAGCAAAATTATATTATGATATTAATATTACATTAAAAAATTGCTGCATCAATAAAAAACATTTGATAAAATAAATTGATATATAAGTTAATTTTTGTATTTTTTATATGTATCCATATAAATAATTATATTTCTTCATATATCTTCTTCTTAAACGAAATTCATCAGAAGAAAAATAATTTAAAAAGAAAAAAAATAATTTAAAAAAAGTATGACATACTAAAAATGATAAATTAATATATATAAGTATCCATTTCTTAAAGCAAAAATTGGATTGTTTTAAATATATATAAAATATAAACTTAAAATACTTGTTTTTTAATTGTATATATTAAATACAAAGAATATACAAAAAAAAATTTTTAAACAAAATTTTTCCAATTTCTATTAAACTATTTTTGTGAAACTATATATTTACATGAGATGTAATTTAAATGATTCATCTTTCTTAAAATTTAAATAATTATAAACTAAAAAAAACATAAATATGATTAAATATAATAAAAATTCCTATAAATCCCTAGGAAATTTTTGTAATATGCATTTAAAATTATTCAAAAATTTTAATGCTGTTATGTAAAAATATTATAATTGCCTTATATTTTTATAAGACAAAAAAATATGAATCAAGCACAATTTCATTTTATTTTTTCAAATGATATAGCATTCATATTATACATAAAAATAGAATTAATGATTTATGTATGAACTTTTTTGTAATAAAATTATCTCTTCTTTATTTTATTTTAATATATTAGAAATATAGAAAAAAGATTGATTCCTATGAAAATCAACGAAAATATTTCATATATATTATAAAAAAAAATTTTAAGTTTTTTTTGCATACACTTATCATTTATTCTAATAATAATAAAATTTACCTTGCTATATTTCATAAAATTAAATAATTATTTTCCATTAAATATTGAAAACCTAAATTCTACAGTGGGAGTTAAAATAATATGCAATTATACATTAATTATAACTGTTGTATAAATTTTGCGTCTTTACATCAAATACACGATTTATTTTTCTTCATAAAAATTTAGCATATATAATAAAATATATATACAACATATATATATATAATATTCAGAAGAGTATCCCACTAATGTTCTCAACCCATTTTATTTTTTTTTATATAAACAAAGAAAAATTAAAAAAATCAAATTAAACTATAAATTTAATTTATTTTTTTTAAAAATACCGTTAAAATATTTTACATTATTTAATATATAACAATCATAGAATAATTATTATTCATAATTAGGATATATTCATATTTAAATAATCTTAAAAATTTCATAAATATTTATATTAATTTTCTTTAATATTTATTATCAAAAAGTGAATTTCATTTAATTGTATACATATATATATACAACTTTCAAATGTTAAATACATTAAAATTTATGATATTTTTATTGGTATTTATATATGATTTTTTGTATCTCATTAACCTACATTTGAGTTACAAAAAAAAAATTCTAATTTTTTTTTTTTAAATTATTTGAAATTAAATTTAATGCTACAAAATTACAAAAAAAATTATTTTGAAAAAACTATTTTAATAAAGTTAACAAATATTCTCATAAAAAAAAGAACTCATTTAGGAAATTAAGAATGTTTTAGTATATATGCATATATAAGACAAAATGTATATCTTTATTTAATAAACTGTTAACCCTCATTATATATTGATATCTATAAAATGCCCATAAAAAATACCTTTTAAAAAATATCCAATTATGTATGTGTGTAAATATTAAAATGAGTTAATATAATCCACTTGAATAAACATAATTTGTATATTAACTGAATTTCTTTTTTTAATTAACCTCTCTATTATTAAAAGTTTTAAGATAAAAGATATGAAGATTAATCAAAGAAAATAAAATAATTTACACATTTTTATAATTTCATATATATTATTTTTTTCATTCATTAAAAGAAAAATACCTATTTATTATATAAAAATATTAATTATTTTTGTTATTTCTCTATTATTTATATGTCTAATCAAAAAATAAAACATAAAAATATTCATAAAAATAAATGTACTTACATTTACAATATTAATACTCCCTTAAAAATATTGTTCATTACATGAGAGAATATGCATTAAATATTACATAATATATATGTATATATATATGCATCGTAATTTTTTTCTTATTATTAAACATAAATTAAATTCGTAATTTTTATAAAATTAGCATTTCTCACATTCTAATTATATTTTTATAGACTATTCTATAATCCGATAATTCATACAATGTTGTAATATAATGTCGTAAAAATATGTTGACTTATAATTATCATATTATTCAATACTACTAAATTTTATTTTAATCATATATTCTAAAAATATTTTTTAAAATAAAAATACTACTTCAAAAATTAATTTATCTATAACAGCTAAATTGAACATAGTTTCCAATATTTTTTAATGAATAAAAAAAAAAAAAAAAAAAAAAAAAAAAAAAAAAACTGAATACAAAATGGTAATTTATCATATTTTAGTTAAAATTGAAAATTCCATATAACAAAAATAAAAACATATACTAATGGAAAATTTGTCGTTAAATTAAAAAAATAGAATTTAAGAATTATTAAAATTTTTTGTATTTTTTAAAAATATATTAAATTGATAATATAATTCATGAAATAATTCATTTCTAACAGAAGAAAATAAAAAATTTACCAAGTTTATAAATACAAAAAATTTTTATTGAAATATTCTATTTAATGAAGTATATTAAATAAATATAATTTTGATAAATATCATATAATTAAATAACAAATAGAAATAGAAATAGAAATAAAATAAATATATAGTCTTTGAATATAAATATCATTAAATACCATAGTTTACCAAAAGTTAATAAGTAAATAAAAAGAATGAAAAAATATTATTATATAGAACTATAATTAAATATAAAAATAATTTTGATTTTCTTTATAATTTCTCATTTTTCTTCTTATTATAATTAAATATACTAATTTTAGAAATAATTTTTTCGTTTCTTGTTTTTCTTTTTGGCTCATATTTATCAAAATTGTCAAAATATATTTATATGTGCCTGTCTAAAAAAATAAAATCTACATTTAATTTTCATTATACATAAAAAATGTATATTTATAATGTTTTCTCTTTTTATTTCATTCCTGTCCTTCACTATATTATATAATCATTGTAATTCCTTAGAATATTTATGACATTTTTTCTTTTGCTTTTTTTTTTTTTTTTTATAAAAAAAATTACATTGAAGTTTTATAAAAATACATTATAAGGAAAATAATAATGAGTATATTAATAATGTTAAGAATGGTTCTACACTAATAACAATTGATATAATAAAGATATTAATAATGTCAATGATATTTCTAATACTATTAATAATAATAATTTTAAACTGATTAAATAAAAAAAAAAAAAAAAAATAATTAAAAATTTCATATATAAAATTATCAACTACATAAAACTAGTAGATAATATTCTAGAAAAAAATTTCTTTTATTTAAAACTCATATACATATGTATATTTATAAAAAAAAAAATATTATAATATATTCAACATAATGTTGAATTAACACAAAAAAAAAAAAAAAAAAATATACAAAATTATAACACTTTGAAAGTTATTTAAAAATATATTATAAAAAAAAAAAAAAAAGTTGATGTTTGAAATAATATTAAAATCTAATTACGGTTTCCTCTTCTTACTCTTGAGTTTCTTCCTCTATTTCCATTATCTCTTTTTTTTGTTATATAGAAATATAATTCCTGTCCTTCTCTATTATAAACTGTTGTAACTATATTACCGTCTTCATTAACTCTAGAAATTTCGTAAGTCTGAGAATTTCCCCATGGTTTAGGTGTATCTAATCTTAAATATAAAAATTAATAAATAAAAAAGCAATAAAATAATAAATTTATTAATATTTATTTTATAAAATTTCCTAATAATTAAAATAACTTTTACCTTAAAATACGTTGATTTACTGAATTGTAAGATCTAAATTTATGAGAGAAAAAAAAAAATTATATATATATATATATATATAATAAAGAATATATATATTTTTATAAGGTGTAATAAAATTTTTTTTTCATTATTTTATGTATTAAATATATATTTATGTTAAACATTAATATTATATATATATATATATATATATATATATATATATAATTTATTTTTTATTAAAAAAACACGTAATATTTTAAGTACTTAATAGGATAGATTAAAGATGAATTGTCCTTGATATTGTTGTGCTGTAAAAATAATTAATAAATATATTGTCTTAGATTAATATAAAGAAATATATAAAATTATGCTTTAAAAAAATTATTATTTTTATATAAAATAATAGTAATAAATTTTTAAGATATTTATATATATATATAGAAAAAAAAAAAAAAAAAAAAAAAACCAATAAATAGAAAAATTAATATATATATAAAAAACTTAAGCATATATATTTATACATACATATAAAGCTATCCATGCCAAATTATAAAAAAAATATTTAAGTGAAAACATCTTTGTAGATAATATTGAGATAAAAAGAAAGATTTTATTATTGTTATATAATATATAAAATATGATTAAAAATAGTATAAAATTATTAAAGAAAGAATAATAGAATTTAACACAATTTCTTAGCTAATTGTTAAATTTTAATATTTTAATCATATATTCTTACTTAATGTATATTAAAGTTTTTTAAACAATTTTTCTCAAATAAGTTTTTCATAGAATCAATACAGTTAAAACTTGTTTAAGTTTAAAATATTTGAAGAAAATAATAAAATTATATTTTTTTTTTTTTTTAATTTAATTTTTCATTTATTTTTATGATTCATTTTATTTTTAAAATTTCACTAATTAAATTTTTTTTTCCTTCATTTTTGATTTATTTCTCATTAATTTTGTTTTTTGTGGAAATGAAATAATCTTACAACGTTTCAAGAAAAATGTAACAAAAACCCGTTTAATAAATTCAAATGTATATTTAAAAATTTAAATAACTCTGAAATTGAGAACAAATATTTTAACGAATCTAATTCAAAAGAGAGTCATAAACCGTTAAATCATAAATTCTACAGATTATAAGATCCTCATTATTAAGTATATCTTTTTTGAAATAAAAGTAACTTTTTTCCTTACACACATTAAAAAATTGTTCTTTAATTAAAGTTCCTATATAGCATCAGTGTAGTTTTTTTTTTTTTTTTTTTTTTAAATTGAGAAATTAAAACATAGAATTTCAATTTCTTCAAAAGCCCCTTTAAAATTTATTACACAAAGAAAAAAAATATAACACAAATGTCTTTAATTTTAAAATTACTAATATATATATAACATTTAAAGGATAATTACGAGAAAGAATAGTTATAATTTTTCCGGTGCAAAAAGAACAAAAAAAAAAAAAAAAAAAATTTATAATGCACTTTTAAAATATAAAAAAAAAAAAAAAATAAGGTGAGTTAATATAAAAATGACTTTATTAAACTACTTATTTCATTTTTATAATATTGTAGATTTTCTTTTCCTTTTTCATTTCTCTAATTCATTATCTCAAATTAATATATCTTTTCTATACAAAAAAAAAAAAAAATAAATAACATAAAATAAAGAAATTAAGATGAATCACTATAGATATAATTTCATATTTCAAAATTTTTTAAGATATATTTTTATCTAGTAATTTATTACAAGTTTATTTTTATTGGTCCTTTCATTTATATATATAAAATAGATGTTTTATACTTTATGTTAAAATTTTTATATTTCTAAATTTGTTGCTTAAATAAAACATATATTTTACTTAAAATTTTTTTTTTAAAAAAAATATATTTTTGAATAAACGTTTGAATAATTAAAATAATAAAAATTAATTACAAATTTCTTTGAAATTAGTTAAGAAAAAATATAAAGAGTAATTTAGTATATATTTTGTTTCTGCCTGACTAATAAGTAAAAAAAAGAATCCAAAAGAATTCACAACTAGTAACTTTAGTCTTTTCTTTTAATTTTTTTTCAAGTATTAAAAAAAAATATTTATTTTTTTTAAAATAATTACAACACACATAATATTAAATTTTTTTTTCTACATAAATTAAAGAACACATCATATTAATGTAATTGAAATAAATAATATTGTAAAAAGAAAAAAAATAAGTATATAAAAAAATAGAAATACAATTAAATCATATTATTATATTTAATTTTAAAAGAGAAATAAATTAAAATGAGAAATAATAAATAGAAAAATAAAATGATCTCAACTAAAAAATTCATTTGATTTATATATATATATTCATTTTTTTTTCTTAATAATACCATTAAATATAAAAAGATAATTAAATGAGCTATATAAATGAAATACCCATTTAATTATATTTATGTGTTATAATTTAAATAACTAAAAAATTCAACCTTAAAGTGTAAGTATATAAAATCTTATATAAGTAGAATTTTCTTTAAATTTCCTATCTTTTAAGTAATCAAAATTATATTATAAGAATTTTTAATCTACATTTTAAGTAAAAAAAAAAAAAAAATAAAATAAACTAAGGTAAAATAAAATATATAAATGTCCACAAGATTTATATATTTCAAATTTTATTTAGTTTAAATATATTCATAATATTAACATTTTAATTATATAAACTTTTTACCATAAATCATATAATTTTCTTTTTTTTTTAATGTATTCTAAATTCCTTTTTATTTTTTTTATTCATGAATAAATCTATTCAATAACAGTAAAAAAAATTAATAAAAAAAATTAATAAAAACAATACATTAACTTTTAATTATATATTAGACTTTTTCAAATGTAAGTATGTTCTATCAATAATGTTTTGAAAATAAAATCTTCAAAAATAGTCTTAAAATTTTTTTTTTTTTTTTTTTTAAATATGAAATAAGGAAATTTTCACATATTTAGACAATTATATAATTAAATATTTTTCCTATTATTTTTTAATTATCTTCTTTTAAAAATGAGATTTTTATATATTTTTCTCTAAAAAAGTTATATATTTTACGTTTTCAAAAATAAATTTATATATTTTAATTTTATTATTAAAAAGTAATACAACATAATATTGGAAAATTTTGAAACGTTGTATATAAATAAATATGATATATTTTTATATATTTCCTTAAAATATAATGATTTTTTAAAAAAAATACATTTTCTTAACTATTTAAACTATTTGTTTCATTTATTCATATATATCTTTATATTTAGTAAATATGTATACAATATATTAAATAAAAATATAAAGAAACTTCATATACATTTCTTACTTTAAATAAAGATTAAAAATAACATATAAATAAAATATATATATATATATATATATAATTAAATTTATATCAGATTTTATAATTTTATGTTGAAAACTTAAAAGTATAAACTAAACAATTATAAGGTTAAAATAATTTTAATAAAGTTACATTTTGGATATAATTTCATATTTTAAATTAACTATAAAATTTTATTAAATACTAATAATTTAAAAAAGAATATAATTTTATTTTATATTATAAATTAAGACTTCAAATAAAAAAGAGTAAATTCTACATCATTCATTTATGTTAAAATCAAAATTTTAAATAAAACATATTAATAATGACATTATTATTAAAGAAAAAAAAAAAAAAAATTGAATATTTTTTCAACCAAACCATATTTAAATGATTACACTCATATATATATATTATTACTTTGAATTATTTATTTATATTTAATATTATATAGTTTAAATAAAAGTACATATTAAAAAAATAAATAATTATAATAAAAGAATAACAATTTTATTTAAATGTCGTAAAAAAATTATATTCTCATTAAAGTAACAAAACATTTTACCATATTTTTTTTTTTTTTTTTTCCTTTTTTCAATTTATATTATCTAATATATTCAAGAATAATGAAAGGTAACTTTTCAAACATAAAGTATTTTTATAATTATAAATTCTTTAATAAAGAAATAAATAATTTTTAAAATAATAAAATTATTTTATTCAAACATATAATAGTTACTTAAAAATTATTAATTCTAACAGATTTTTAATATTATAAAATGAATCTTAAAAGATAGAAGAAAAATTTATAAAATTGTAAATAAGAAATTTTAATATTTTTCTCAAATCAAATAATATGGACAAAAAAAAAATAAAAAGAAAAAAGGCATAAAAAATGAAAATATATATATATAAAGAAAATAAAAAATTCACAAAAAAAAAAAATAAAAAAGGAAGTAAAATATGAGGAAAAATTGGAAATTATTAAATTAATTTACTTAAAGGAAAACATAAATATTTTGAGAAAAGCTAACTACAATGAAAACATAAAAGTAATAAAAAAAAAAATTAAGAAAAAGAACAATTAAAAAAATTAGGAAAAAAAAACAGATAATAGATTATAGAGATTAAAAAAAAAAGTATAATTTTTTTTTTAATAACGATAAGAGTGAAATGATCTAAAGTAAATAATAAATATTTCTTCATATAAAAAAAAAAAAATTTAATTTTTTTATGTAAAAATTATATCATCAAGTAATGTAGGATTTGAAAATTTTCATTATATGAATACACGAAATGATATGGACAAAAAATACAATATTGTTCAATTAAAAGAGAAAAAAAAAAAAAAAGAAAAGTATTTATATTACACTTTTAAATCATCAAAAAAAAAAAAAAATAAAATAAAATTAATAAAAAATTATTTTTATAACAATAAAAAAAAAAAAATAAAAAGGAATTTTAATTTATGATAATATTTATACAAATAATAATATGTATATTAATCTATGTAATTCTATAGTTAACAATATAATTATTTTCATATATATATATAAATATAATTCCCTATCTATATATCATAAGTATGTTTTATAAAAAAAAAAAAAATGGTGTAATATCTAAGAGAGGAATATTTTAAGAAATAAATTTTTATATAAAAACGCTGTTAATATTAATTAATATTTTTATGTTAGTAAATTATTCCTAACTACAACAATATGTGATAGAAAAAAAAACGTGTAAACTATAAAATGAATACCTCACCTTTTATAAAGCAAATTATTAATATATGAAATTTTACATTTATTCAAAACAAAAAAAAAATCTATCAAATACTTTAGTGAAAAAGGAAATATATAAAAAAAAAAAAAATAAATAATTAGCAAAAATAAAAAAAAAATGTTATTATATGTAAAAGAAAAAATTAATAAGATATAAATTTATTGTTGTATATTTCTTTAAAAATAGAATAAAAAAAAATATACACTTCAATAATATTTCCTAATTTTATAAATTAAAATCAAAAAAAAAGAAGAAAGGAAAATACATAATTATGAACATATAAGAAAAAAAAATAATATTTCAAAAAGTGTAAATTTATGTAATACAGTAGTTTAAAAAAAAAAAAAAAAAAAAGATTATGAAAAGCACTAATCTTCATATGTCTAATAATTTTCCTATTAATTGTAATGAATTAAGTAAAATAAGTATCTCAACAAAATGTAGCATTTCATATGGTAATAATATTTTAAATAGAAATATTAAAAAGTGTTTTAATTTGAATGATGAGAATCAGAATTTTAAAACGCTTAAAGATAAAGGTGAAATTTCATATAATAATAGAAATGAACTAAATGTAAGAAATGCCTATAAAGAATTTAAAATATATAAAACAATTTCTCATTACGATTTTAATTATAATATAAAAATAATTTTCTCAAAAAGTCAATATGATAAAATAAAGGAACATTTTTCAGAAAAAATGATTAAAATTAAATCAAGAAAATTTAAAAATTTTATCAAGTGCAATTTTCATAAAGTAAATAGAAATATAGATGAACATATATATCACAAAAACTATAAAAAAATTTCATTAAGTAAAAAGAAAAAAATTAAAAGATTCAAAGAAATTTTTCCCTTAAAAAATAATATAGAAAATGTATGCAAATCTATTAAAAAGATTCATGAAAAATGTTATAATTTTATTTGTTTAAATATTTTTTTTTTACAATTATGTAACTTAAAAGAAAGTAAGAATATAAAAAAAATAAAGGAAAATAATCATTATAATCAAAAAATAAAAAACTTTAATGACATTTATTCTATTAAAAAAAGTATGAAAATATTTCAAAATAAAAATATTTTTTTGTTTCTAAAGTTATACATATGTTCTGTTTTCGTAAAATATGGTATGTTTTTTATACATCTTAAAAAAAAAAAAAAAAGAATTATTTTAAGAAATAGTACTTCACTAAAAGAATTAATAAAAATAAAAATACTATTTAAATATATGAAATCTCTAATAAAAATTATTTCTTATAATAATGACTACAAAAATAAGATTAATAATAATGATAGGGTTAATTATATTGAAAATATTATTTATAATTTTAGAAAAAAAGTTCGTCATTTTTTTTATACTCTTTACAAAATTTACTATAATTTTAAGAATTGTTCTAGATATAAAAAACTATATAAAAGATTCACTGAAAAGGTATTAAACAACTCTAAACTACAAAAGAGAAATATATACTATGTGTTAAAAAGAAAAATAAAAAAAATAAATTTTTATATTAAAAGGAGTAACCAAAATTTTTTAAAAATTAAAAAAGATAAAGTACGACATAACTATTTTCATTACAATCTAAATGAAAAAAAATTTAACGCAATAATTTTAAATAATAAAGAATACAATATTAAGTGTAATACAATTTACAAAAATTTTATAAAAGAAAAAGAATTATTTTTAAAAAAGAAAACATTTTTATATTATATAAAAATTTTGCAAAAGAAAGAATATTTACAAAAAATTATTTACTGTAATTGTAATAATAAGAATAAAAATAACCAATTAAATGAAGATAAAAAAAAAAGCAATCAATCAAAAAATAAAAATAAGAAAGAACAAAAACATAAAAGAAAAGAAGAAAAAAATGAACACTATAATGGGCATAAAGATAAACAAAAAAAAAATCCACAAAATGAATATAATAATGCAAATAATAATAATTGGAGGGATGCAAATGACAATGATGATGATAATGGTAATCATGAAGATGATGAATATGAAAACGAACGCAATATAGATGATAAAAAAAAACTAAAGTGTGAAAAAGAAAAACATAAATATTTTAATAAAAAAAATAATTTTAAAAAAGTAAAAAAAAAAACGTATAAAATTATCAGGAAAAATTATATTTTTAATTTTAATTTTCCATATTATAAATTTGATAAAAAAATTAACTACAGAATTTTTGATACTTCATATAAAAAAGTAAAACAAGAAGAATTACATAAAAAAAACTTATTTACAAAAGAAAAAGATTTCAATAATATATGTAAAAAAAAATTAGATAATATTAGCAAAAAGGGAAAATATTGTATCTTAAAAAAAAAGGAAATTAAGCAAAATTTTAATAAATTTTCAAAAGAGAATACTATTAAAGTAGAAAAAAAAATATATTATGAAGATTTGAATAATGAAAAAAAATTGAAAAAAAAATGTGTATTGAACAGAATCATGACTTCTAAAAGAAAAAATAAAATTAAAAAAAATAGAAATGAAGAACAAGAAGAACAAAAACAAAAAAACGAATATGATGCAATCGATATTTTTAATGAGGTAAATAATACTTATAAATGTTATAATTATAATAACAAAGATAAATGTATAGATGAGAAGAGATCGTTTAACGAAGAAAAATGCTTAAAAATTGAAGAAAATCCAAACAAGAAAAAAGAAGAAAAAAATGTTTTAAAAAAAAAAATAGATAGAGAAATTAAAAAAATAAAAAATGTAGATTATTTAAAATTAAAAAATTCTTCAAAAGATTATAAGATTATTGAAATAATAAAAAAAGAGGGAAAACATGAAAATTGTAAACGAAACTCTTTATTTATGAAATCAAACAATTTAAAAAAAAATTCCATTGATAAAAAAAAACTAAATGATTCAAGTTTGAAGAAAGATAAAATTATATTTGAAGAATCACTAGATGATATTGATTTAAATAAAATTTCTTTAGAATACTCATATACAGATATTTATAATGCAACTAATGGGTTTTGTGAAAATAATCTTATAGGAAAAGGTAGCTTTAGTTATGTATATAAAGGAATATTAAACGAAAGTACTAATGTAGCCGTAAAAGTTTTAAAGCCAAAAATAAGTAATGGTTTTTTAAACGAAGTAAAAATATTGTCGAAATTAAGACATCCAAATATAATTATCTTATTAGGATATTCTAAATATAAAAATATAAACATTCTTATTTATGAGTTATTAAAAGAAAATTTAAAAACAGCTATAAATAAAGATAATTCATTAAAATGGTTTGAAAGAATATCTATATGTTTAGAAATTTTATCTGCCTTAAATCATCTTCATAGTTCAAATCCATCAGTCATACATCGAGATATTAAAACAGAAAATATTATGTTAGATAGAAATAAATCAGCTAAAATTTCTGATTTTGGTTTAGCATTATTATCAAAAAAAAAATTTAAAAGTTTAAAAGTTAAACAGACTTCTGGAACAATAGGTTACGCAGACCCTACCTATATATTGACATCCCTTGTTAATGAAAAGACAGATGTATATTCATTTGGTATTGTTTTATTAGAGTTATTAATTGGAAAATTTCTAGAAATACGTAATAATAATAAAACAAAAGAATTTACAATTTTACAATCACATTATAATTTTTATAATATTCTAAAATTAATAGATAGAAGAGCTAATTATCCTACTTCTTTTGTTATTTCTTTAATCATTATTTCACTTAAATGTATTCAGAAAAATTTATCATTAAGACCAGATTTTAAATGTTTAGTAAATTTGTTTAAAAGATTAAATAATTGTGCAAAGTGTTATTTACAAAAAAAAATTCTTAAAAAAACCTTATCTCTAAATATTGTTAAAGAAAAATATTCAAACAGTTATGATAATTATATATGTATGGAAAAGAGTAACAGAAAAAATTATTTTATTAATAGTAACGTTAATAATAATATAAATATTAATAATAATAATAATAATAATAATAATAATAATAATAATAATAATAATAATAATAATAATAATAATAATAATTATAATAATTTAAATAATAAAAATAATAGTATTAATAATTTAAATAATAATAATTATAATAGTATTAACAAAATAAATTATAATTATAATTTAAATAATAATAATTATGATAATAGTAGTAAAGTTAACAAAATGCGTTATTTAAATATTAATTCAAAAAATAAAAATAATAGTTATTTTTGTTTACATATTAATAAAAGAAATAATAAGAAGAATTCTTTTTATTGTAATAAAAGTAATTTATCTAAAAACGTAACTATGGGTGATAAAACGAATTTAAATATAAATAATAAAGACTATTTTAAAAATAATGAATATACAAAAATTATAGATGTCTTTAGTAACAAAAATGTTATTTCAAATTTTTGTCAAAATAAAAGAACTAGTGTGAAAAATATAAATTTTAATATAACTAATAATAATTATGATTTTGTAAATAACAATAAAGTTATAAATACAAAAAATTATAAAAATTACGATAATGAAACTATAGATAACAGCTTAAAAAATCATATTTATAATTATAAAAAGCAAAATTTTATTCTTCATATAAAAAATTGTAAAAATAAAAATAACAAAATAGATAAAATTATTCATAATACAAAAAAATTTAATTATAATTATATGCTTCTAAATAATTCCAAATCAAAAACCTTCAAAAGTATATATAATTTTTATCTGAATAGAAATATTAAAATATACAAAACATTAAGAAAAAGAAAAAAAACAAAGTCTAACAAAATAAGAAAGAACAATTTAAAATCTCATATAAATGTATTACATCCATTTAAAAAAATCAGAAAAAAGAAATATCTTAAGGAAAAAAATGTTTTGATATTATACTTTATATTTAAAATTAATAATATTAAAAATAAGTTCTATTTCATAAAAAAATACCTATTTCAAATTAGGGGGATGTTTTTCATTAAATTATTAAAATTTAATAAAACAAAATTTTATTTTAATTTCAATAATATATGTAACATAACCAAAATAGACTTAAACCAATTTTATAATTCAATTAAAAAAAAAAATAAAAAAAAAATTAAGAAAATAAAAACAATAAAAAAGAAGAAAAATAAAAACCTATGTGAAACTTTTCTTATTAAGAATAATTTAAATGTTCTAAAAAGAAAAAAACATATTTTCAAAAATAAAATAAACTTTAAATTTTTATTATTAAAGAAAATTTTATATAAAATTCATATAATTTATATAGCAGGTAAAGAAAAGAATGTTCTAAATAATAAATTAAATCAAAATGTTGAAAAAATAAATTATGATAAAATTAACAATTTTTCAGAATATATAATCAATTACAATAATAAAATTAATTATAAAAAAATAAATGATAATAAACAAATTTTTTTTAATAATTATACTTATAGTAATAATTGTATTTCTTTAAATAATGTAGAAAACAAAGAAAAATTTGAAACTTTAAACAGTGAAAATATTATTAAAAATATAAAAATATCTAATTCTAGTACAAGTGATAATCTAATAAAAAAGCGAGGTTATGAAGAGTTAATTATTCAAAATATTAAAAAAAAATCAACAGGAAATGGCAATAAGTTAATGGAAAATAATTCATTTGATTATCACATTATAAAAAATGAAAATAAAAATAATACATATTTATCTAATGACGGTTACTTTAGTGAAAAAAAAAAGAAAAAAAAAAAAGAAGAAAAAAATAATAATATAATAAAAATATTAAATATGAAAGCTTATAAATCTAGTTTCATTAATGATTTAGTACAAGAAAGAAATGAAAAATATAATAAATTAAAAAAATATAGAAATATGATCAAAATAAAGAACAACAATCTTCATAAAATACCAAATAATTCTGATATACATCCCATCAAAGGTAAAATTTCATCAATAGAAGATAATTCAAATAAAAGTAATAATATTTTTGATAAAGTTCGTGAAATCATGTATAATGAATCCAATATTAATACTATTAACTCCTCTAAAAATATTAAAAAAAAAGAAGAAGAAACAATTCAGAAAAAATTAAAAGGACAAAATATGTGCAATTTTGATGAAGAAAGGGGTAAATACATTACAAATTTAAATCATTCATTTGATCAATATTTATTTAACAATTATAAAAAAAATAAGAACCATTATAAAAATAATAATGAAAAAAATTATATGATATTTAAACATACAAAAGAGGAATCTTGCTTTATAAAAAAATATCCACATATAAATGTAACCAATTTTAATAATTTAAGTATAACAGTTAATAAAAAAAATGATATAAAAAATACTAAATCGAATAAATTTTTAGAAAAAACAAATATTATAAATGAAAATATTCAATCAAATAAAAAGCAATTTTTAAAGTTTGTTCTCACAAAAAAATCCAACAATGAAAAAATAAATCTATATAATAATTATGAAGGAACATACACAAAGGAATTAAATAAAAAAGAAAAAAAAAGTGAAGGTGTTGTAAAACTTCAAAGAGAACATAAAAATAATTATAAATACATAGATTATTTTTTTTCTTCAAAAAATTCAGATGATATAAAAAAACATAAAATAGTTCCTAAAAAAATAAGGAAAATTCATTTGATTAAATATTCAAAAAAATCAGAAAATTTTAAATTAGAAGAACGTAATATACAAATATATGACAATTTTTTAACTATTAGTGATTAATATATAAATAAGTTATCAAAAGTTAAAAATATATATATATATATATATATATATATATATATATATATATATATATATATATATATATATATATATATATATATATATATATCTTCTTATTATGTAATTTGTTCATTTTTTGTCTTTGAACTAATTTTTCATTTGAGTTTTCATTTTCTCTTTTTTTTTCCTTATATATATTAATACAAAATAAAATTTTTAAATAACATTAAAATTATTTATTTTTATCCTGTATATGAAAATAAAATATGTAATATTATATATACATATAAGATATGTATGTAATTTTATAATTTCATCCGCTTCTTAAATGTCTTTATATTATTCCTATCTTCTATTTGTTATTATTATGAAAATTAAAATTAAAAATTTGAATATGGTATATATGTAAATACATTATTATTATCAATGAATTAAGTCAATTTAATATATATATTTTTTAAAAGGCACTTACATTATTTTGTTTTTAGCCTTATAAGACATAAATTTTTAAAAGTATTTATAAATAGAAAAATTAAATATTTATACGAATATATTTATTTGATTTATATTTTTATAATATTTCATTTTTAAAACATTTAGTTAATATAACATTTATGTTATAAATGATAATTTTTTATTAAAATATTTGTTTATTTTTTAATGAATTTGAATGTTAAGTAAAATGGTGATCATTTATATTATTAATTAAAAATTCTTTTATATGAACTTAATATATTATCTAAATTTTACAAAAATATGTATATTTTAATTCGCTTTTTTTTTTTTTTTTTTTTTTTCCATTAACTTCAAAGAATTACACCATTATACGATAGGAAAGCATTATTGTTACATTAATAATATAGTGATAATAAATTCTTAAATAAATTTTTTTTTTTTTTTTTTTTTTTTTTTTGTTTTAAAATCTCCAAACAATTTGTATTATAAAAAAGTGTTTTCGTAATATAATCATTTTTAAAAATTAATAAAATTTCAATAACTTGGAACATTGAAAATATATTGTTATTTTTTCGTCTTCATTCTTCAATACTATTGAAAATTTATATTTTCAAAAATTAATGTTTTTAGTATAAACATGCACTTTATACTTACTTTTTTTTTATTATTTTACACAAAAATTAATCTTAGTTACTTTTAACAGATATGAACCAATTAAAAGTTTTTTTTTTTTTTTTTTTTTTTTTTTTTTAAAAATGCAAGGCTTAGTTGAATTTCCTATAAAACCACACAGCTTAGGAAGATATAACTGTGGGAGGGCCAATGTCTGTAGGATAACTTTATTGTAGATTCTCCTATTAATGATATATTTTTTTTTTCCTCTTAAGTATGGATCTTGAATGTCATTTCACCTTAATCTGACTGGGTGGATTTGTGAAACTGGTAACTCTTTCCTCCCTTCATGGGCAAGATGTGACAAGGGGAAGGAAACCAGGCTTTATTATTTCCTCTCTAACAGCTACTACAGTGCAGCTGCTATTAGCTAAAAAACGCTGCACTGCCTCACAGCTGCACTCCTCCTGCACATATGCAATGACAGACAGTTTTCAAGAATAGAATTGGATTCCTTTCTATGGCAAGCTTTTATATTTCATTTTAAAAAGTGGAAAAATTGTCAAAGATTAAAAAACTTGTGATCTAGGATTTATCACTTGCTGATATACCATGATTGCCATATTCTGCTCAGATTAGTGCTTGCATTTTTCTTGAAGAAAGGTGTCATGCTTTGATTATAAAAGAAAGCCATGACTATCCCAAATTGAAAACTGATTCAAGAAAAGACAACTCCTTAGATGAAATTGCCTTTGTATTGTTTAACGGCTGAAAGATAATCAATTGCTTTGAAACTGCACTGTTACATGCATCTGTGCTGTTTTCTCACAGCAGTACTTTTTCTAACCTTTGTGTGCAGCCATTTTTTCCTTCAAAATTTCCTCTCTCTGGATTTGATTCCAATAATTCTTTTTTCAAATATTTTATAAATAACTTACTTCTCCTCCTCTTTTTAAAATTCTTATATATATAGCACCAAAAAAAAAAGAAAAGAATTAAAAAAGGCATAAGAGTCATTGCAAAGAGTGCAGATGCACTCAAATTATCTTCATGATGAACAATCTGCTGCTTTACTGGCATAACTTCTGACCTCCTTGTATATGGCATGATATCTTTTATAACACTAATTTCTTTATGTTCACATGGAAAAAATTTATCTTTAGCATAGGTTTCGCAAAAATATGAAACACACTCCAAATTAGAATCTCTTGTTAAGCATCTTTCTGGAAGATACATAAATTTTTTATATTTTTGATTAGCACTATACAAAAATATTAATTTTCCACTATAATTCGCATCAGAACACAACACATAATCTTCATTTTCTTTTTCACATATCGCATACATACAACTAGGACGTGAAATGTATCTTGTTTTTATATGATGACAGGAATGTTCTTTAATAAATAAATCTTTATATTTTGATTTAATAATTTTATGATTGGGATTTTTTAAATCTACTAACATGAAAATTTTATTATAACATATAATTTTCTTATATAAATTTAAAACAAAATATATAGGAAACGTTTTAGTTAANTCTTAAATAAATTTTTTATTTTAATTTTTAACTGGAAATTAAAAAATTAATAAAGTACTATTTCTAAATATACTATATTCAATATCAAAACAAATAAAAAGTGTTTTTTAATATAATTTTTAGATCATTAATATTGTTAAATTATTTAGAGAAAAAAAAAAAAAAAAAAATATACGCAAAAAATAAAACTACAAAATAAAATAATAGTTGATATGAAAAAATTAAAAGAAAATAGCTAATAACTACATAAAATATGCTAAAAAATTGAAATAAGAAACTTTCCGGATTTAACTTGAAAAATATTATATATATATATATCTAATTTTAATTTCACAGAAATATTCATTTTTTTATTTTTCTATTATACTGTCTATTATTTTAAAAAACAAAAAAATTGCTTAAAGAATAAATTTTTGGTATTTTATCAAAATAATTTCAATCATTTACTGACATGTTATAGCTCTACACGAACCGTCCACACAATTTACTACAGCCTTACAAATATCTGATATAAAGTTAGACAAAGTATTAAAACAAGCAACAACAGGATTTCTCATTTTTAACAAAAATTTTAAATTTAAAAATAAAAGAAAAAAAAAAAAAATAATAATGTAATAATTTTTAAAAGTTTTATATAAATATAACTGTTATTATAAAAATATGAAAATGTATGTTTCAAAGTAACTCATTAAAATTATTTTATATTTTAAATATCTTTTTTTTTAGGAAATAAATAAATAAAAATTAAAAAAAAAAAATTTTAAAAAAGGTTGAAATTTTTTAAAGTACTATATGTGTGCTTTTTAAGATTAAAAAAAAAAAAAAAAAAAAAAAAAAAAAAGGCTAGCTGTCTGAAAATTATAATTAAAAAGAGAAAAGAAAATGCATTAAAAAAAAAAAAAAATATATACATATATAGCATAAAACTGTATAGTAAAATATTTAAAATATAAATATTTATATAATAAAATATATATGTTCAAAAAAAAAAAAAAAAATATGTAATTGCGAAAATAAAATAGAATTCAATAAAACAAAAAAAAATGATAAGAAAGTATATTATAATTAAGTAAAGAAAAAAAATAGAACCTACAAAAAAGTAGCAACAAATATAATAATTTAATTAAAAATAAAAAATATATAGGTATATCATTAATTAAAAAGTTTTAAAAGAACTTATAAATTGCTTTATTATATAATTTCAATCTATAAATTTTGGATAAATGTTTACTATCCTAATCATTAAATGAATTAATTTTACCAATATATTATAAAAACATTTTTGTCGGTATAAAAATGCTTCTACTAAAAAATTTTTCAAACATTTTAAATGAAATTAAATTTCAAAAATGTGGAAAAATTATAAAAAAAAAAAAAAAAAAAAGGTATTAAAAAAAACAGTACATAATACTGTAGATGAAAAAAAAATGACAAAATAAACAATGGCTACTGTTTGAATTATAGAATATTTTAAAAAATTTTAAAATTTCAACTAAATATGTAATGCTGTATGTCGTTTAAAAATTTTATATAACTTTTATTTTATAATTAGAATCTGTTTCATTTTTGTAACTTTTATTTTTAAAATTTAATTTTATTATTATTAATTTTTATTGATAATATAATTTTTTTTTTATTTTTATTTTATTTTTTTTTTTTTATATATTTTTCATTTTTTTTTTTAATTTCATAAATTGTATAATTAAAAAAAAAAAAAAAGATAAAAATAATATTATTTTAATATTTAATAATTAATCTCATTTTTAAAATAAAAATATTCACAAATATTTAAAATTATAATTATTAGTTTGGATAAACTTTTTTTTTATTTCCATTTAAAATGAAACTTTTTTGAATAATTTAAAAGTAATATTAAAAAGTAAAAACAAAAATATTAAAGATATAAGAAATGCAAATAATAACCTCAGACAAAATAGGTTTACTACAATATATCCAGTGTAAAACTAAAAGTTCTATTAATGAACAAAACCTTGAGGCCGACTTGAAAAGAAGAATTAATCACATTACATGGTCTGGAGGATATGGGTAATTAATTTCTACATATAAAACTAAAAGGAAAATATTTTAATAAATTAATAAAAATAAATATCAATTATACAAATTTATAACTTAAAATATGAATTGTTTTTTGTTTTTTAATGGTTTTTCAATATATATTATATAAGTATAATAGATATCCTATTCTTTTTTTTTAATTTTAATTTTTTATCAATTTTTTTTTTTTTTTTTTTTTAAGAGGATATGAAGAATCAGAGATAACGTTATGTAGATCTAATGGATTAGTTGAGAGTTTTGAATTTTATCAAAACGAAGAGAATCCTTACATTGATGATACACCTTCATTGTCATTTATAACTTGTAATAATTGCATATATACGAAAATGCTAAATCATCACCATAATTTAATATATGATGATTTACTTAATAAAAATAAAAAAATGTACACGAATTACTTAAATTTTATGCCTAATTATGAAAATGAAAAGATAGATGGAATATATGAAGATTATTTATTAAATGATAGATTATTAGTTACTGTTAGCAACACAGGTCATGTTCAGATTTTAAATTGGAAAAATGATAGTAGTTTAAAATATCATCTAGATAAAACAGAAGAGATGAAAAATAAAAATGATAAGAAAAAAAAAGTAGAACTTTATTTTAAAAATTATAAGAGAGATGTATTGGATAAAATTCATTTTAAAATAATAGAAGATAAAGATAACAATATAATAATGAGTGAAAATGAATATAAAAATATTATTATGGAAAATATATGCAAAGAATATCATTATAACAACATGATATCAAAAAAAAGTATATTACAGTCATATATTTTAAGTAAACCAATTGACGCTGTGTGTGTAAACGAATTACTAACTAATCGATTGGCTATTGGTGGATATAAAAACTGCTTAAAAGTTTTTGATTTATTTACAGGTAAATATTTATGGAAATCCAAAGGATTGGGAATGAGTTTATTAAATTTAAATTGTGAAACACTTATAAAATCAATAAATTTTCTGAATGATATAAATGTTAATATATTATGTGCAGGTACATATAATCACAAAATTATATTGTATGATATAAGATGCCAAAATAAACCAGTTTATATTTATGATCATTATAAAAATAAAAATGTTACTAAAGATAAATATAATTATTTTAATGATAATTATTATGAAAGTGATCTCGTTTTTACTAGTATATGTAGCAACTCATATATAATTAATGAACAATATAAAAATACCAATGAAAATTCTCATAAAATAAAAAACGAAGAAAAAAAGGAAAATATAAAAGAAAAAAAAGAAAAAAATGAATATATAACAGAAGATTTATACTTAAAATTTAACACACATGAATTAGCATTAAAAAATTTGGAAATTTTAAAAAGATTACAAAAAGAAAGAAACGTACAAAAAGAAAAAAAAAAAATTAAAATAAAAAAAGATAAGAAAGTAGAAAAAAAAAGTGTGGAAAAATTAATGAAAGGGGAATATGATAATAATTATTTTTTGAAAGTAAAAAAAAACGGAATAAACAAAAAAAAAAAAATAAATAAAAAGGAAGAAGAAGAAGAAGAAGAAAATAAAAACAGTAATAAAAAAATAAAAAACGAAGATATTATAATCTATAGAAAAAAAGAAAACTTAAAATATTATTTCATAAAAAAATTCGCTAATAAAGACAGTCAAATTATTTTTGTTTCGGATAATTATGGCAACGTATATCAATTTGAAATAGCTACAGGAAATAAACTACTGAATTATATATATATTAAAAAATGTGCAGAAAAAAATATAAAATATAAAAAAAAAAGTAATAATTATTTAATAAAAAATAGAGAAAAATTATATGCTTTTTACAAAGATTATCAACAAAAAAATAAAACTCATATGAGGAATGATTTACCTCCCATGTGGGCAAAAAAAAATTTTGATCAATTTTTAATTACATTAGTTAAAAAATTCAAAATTCATAATGGAGCTATATCGTCTTTAAGTTTACATAAAGAAGGAAAAGTTTTGTGTTCAGTAAGTTATGAACGATTTTTAAGCATATTAAATATTGAAAGCAAAAAAATTATCAAACGAATACATGTAGGTCATATATTAACCAACTGTATGTTTCATTCTCAATGTTTTAATGAAAACCAAGATGAAACGAAACAAATAGAGGAATATGAATGTGAAAGTTGGGAAAACTCTTCCACATTCTCAGATGATTATTTTAATGAAAATGAGAAAAACAAAAAAAAAAACCTTAAATGTGAAATGGTTAAAAAAAACATATTAAATGATGAAGAATTGTTTGATGGAGAATTATTTGATGAAGAAAAAGAAGAAAGTAATCATTTCGAATATTCTGATTAATAATATAATGGATATTATTAATAAAGTTGCAAGTAATAATTTTCATTTTAAGTATTATTTTGAAGGATTATATTTATTTTTTCTATTATTTTCTTATTTTAAAAAATTATTAAATCTTTTTATATATTAAAGCTTTTATAAAATAAAATTTAATTTTTATATATCATATATTTTTTACATTAATAGTTTTTGTTTTATCATTTAATATTGAATAATATATTTTTATTAAAATTTTAAAAATTTTGAAACTTTAATTTTATAATTTGTTTAAGATCTTTTAATTTGAGATTTGATATATACATATTTTTTTTTTTTTTTTTTTTTATGTTTTTCTTTTTCTTTTTCATTCTTTTCACATTTAAAAAAAAAAGAAAAAAAAAGAAAAAATTGTTTATCCTTGTCAGTGTTTCCTCTTTCACAGTTTAAAGTGTATCGAATGTTTACACAGGTTTAATCTAGAAGAAAAAAAAAAAAAAAAAGAATAAGTATTATAAAGTATTAATAAAAATAATATCTAACAGGAGAAAAATAGAAAATTCTAAGAATAACAAATATATAAAATGAAAATTTTTAGAAAAATAATATACAAAAAAATAAAAAATATTCTATTTTTAATAAATTAATTACTCTGAAATGTAAGCATATTAAAGAAAACAAAAAGCATTTTAAATCTTGAACTAAATAATAAAAAACTCTTAATCCATCAGGGTCATTACATTGTTTTACATCAGATAACGAACCAATTTTTGATGTAGTAAAATAATATTCATTTCCATCTAAAAATATTTCTAATTCTTGTTTTCCAATTTTATCAGGAACAGGCCATAATTTATCACTTTCCTTACATATCTCAGATTCTTCTATTATACGTTTTAATTCATTTAATACTGATTTACTAACATATGCTAAAAAAAGAATAAAATAAATAGATATAGTAATGTTATATGATTTTAATAAAAAATATATATCTATTTTTAACCTTCTTTTCTAATAATTTTATCATTTTTATAATTTGAATTATTAGCATATCTTAATCTTCCTTTAGAATTAAATTCAAATTCAAGAAATTCATGACCAAATTTTCCTTCATGCCCAACACTATAAAAAAAATAAAAAAAAATATATCCAAATTATATAAAAATAAAATACAACAAGAATATTAAAATATGATAAAAAAAAAATTCTATATTTTTTTTTTTTTTTTTTTTTTACTAATATCTAAAAGAAAATCGATCTTTTTTAGACATTCTTATTAATTTCAAGTAACTTCATTTAAAAAATAATGAGGTTATTATTTCGTTTTAAACTACTTTTTTTTATATATACTTTAATTGTTTATATATTTTTTTTTTATTTTTTTTTTTCTTTAATTATTAGTTAAAATACTTTTAAGTTTAAAAAATTATCAATTTTTCAATGAAAACAAATTTGTATTACACCAACAAAGTTATAAAAATATTTAAATGAAATATTAAATAGAAAAAATTTTAATTTAAAAATTTATAAAAGTATAATTAATTTAAGTAAGAATTAATATATTTAAAAATAGAAACTAATAAAAAATAAAAAAAAAATTTCTATTCAAAATTTTTTAAAAATAATTTTTTATAAATTCTGTATTGGGGAAAAAATTTTTATTTTCATATTTCGAAATATTATCAATAACATTATTTAATTTTTTATTTAATTTTTTTAATTTCTTTTTTGTTTTTACATATATTTCTTCTCTTTCAAACAAAACCATAACTTTTTCTACTTCTTCTTTAATACAGTATGAACATAAAATGGTATCTATTAAAAACTACAAAAAAAAAAAAAAAAAAAAAAAATGTGTTTATATATATAAAAATGAAGATGATAAAAGATTAATCATGTATTTAATTAATTTAAAATAAGAATAAAAAACAAATGCAATTTTATATAAAGAATGATAATGCTTTAAATTTAATCCAGCATAAAATATTAACCTATATATATAATTTTTAAAAAATTTATATATATATATATATAAAGAAATAAAATATAAATTCTACTACATTTTGTACAAAAAAAAAAAAAAAGGAGAATATTCAAGTAAAATATAAAATACAAAAACATTATAAAATAGAAATTGATTAAATTATAAATAAAAAAAAAAAAAAACATAAATAGCATAAAATAAAACGCATGAATTAAATATAAAGTTATATTAGTAGTATTTATAAAAGTATATTTTTTATTTTTCCTTACAGATATGGAATAATAATTTGAAAAAGAAAAAGAATCCTTGGCAAAATTACAAATTTTTTTAATTAAAAAAGATATAAAATAATAAAAATATAAAAAAAAATTTAAGTGATAAAAATATTCTCTTGGTAAATTTTGTAAATTATTTGAAAATGTTACATACAAAATATTTTTATTAGCTGCCATTTTAAAAATAGAAATGCAAAATAATTTTATAATTGTTCTTACAGGCAAATTAATTAATTTTTCAAAACTAACAAATTTTATATTATTTTCAAACTCATCTAACATTTCTTGAACGTATTTGTGTGTTCTTATATCATAACTATTATTAACACACTTTATGTTTTCTAAGTTTTTATTAATTAAAGATAAGTAGAAAAATTCTCTTTCTAAAAATAAACTGAAAATTTTTCTAGAAAAAAAGTATGGTAATATATATTCTAAATTATTTATTTTACTATTTTTTTTTATATTAACAAAGTTATTGAAAGACTTTTTCAAAAATGAGATGAGAATTAATATATCAATTTTATTATAAAAAATATCACTATAAAAAATGGTTCGTTTTTCTACTTTTTCTTCTTTTGAAAATATATTTATATTCATTTTTAAATTGTTTTCATCTATTTTCTCTTCATTATTTTTATTCACGGATACTACATTAATCTTTCTCTTTTTCATTTTTTTTTTACTTGGTATAAAATTTACGATATTTTTATTATCTATTTTTCTCTTTAAACTTATCTCACATTTATCATCTTCTACTTTTTCCTCACAAATGTTATCAATTTTTAAAAAAAGGGATTCAGATAAATAAAAGGAAGTAAAATAAAATAATAAAATTATTTTAATTAATATAAATATGTTGTCGTTTGAACTATCATTTAATTTTACTTCCTTAAAAATTCTTAATAAGTAATTAATTAATATGTAATTATTATTAACACTTTTATTATTTTTTAAAATAAATATTTTTATATTTGAAATAATATAAGAAATTTTTTTTATAATCAAAATAATATTGTTACATTTTATTTTATCCCATTTGTATACATTATCATCATTACTATTATTCATTAATGATTTCAAATTAATTAATGAATGAACATGATTTTCATAAATAATATATGTTTCCTGTATATTTAATTTTAAAAAAAAGAATAAAAAATCATCTTTATATAAATATTCATTATTTATAATGAACATACATTTTTTTTTACATATTTCAATATAATCATTATTTGTATTTTTAATATTCCTAATTTTATCTTTAATTTTATAAGAATCTCTTTTTTTTGCAGAAAATATCTTATGAAGAATAATCATCACTTCCTTCTCTAATAAATCGTTCTTTGATTTAAAAAAACTGAACTTGATAATTATATAATAAATAAATAGTAAAAGTTTAGAGTTATTATGCTCATATAAAAAATATAAATTTTTAATTATTTCAAAAGATAATATATTAAAATTATTTTGATTCAAAAAGAAATGAATTAAATTTTTTTTTGTTTCATTTATTCTTTTGTATAAATCATTTCTAATATCCGATCTTAAAAGACTATGTAATTCATTTCTGTTTTCTTCATTTCTAAAATTAGTATAAATTTTTTTTACTTTGTTATTATTATTTAAATGGCAAAAGAAGAATAAGAAATTATTCACAAAAAATTCCTCATTATAATTATACAAAAAAAATAGTATATTATTTATAAAATTATCAAATGTTCTGTTGGTAATTATATTAATGGATTCTTCATTTTGTAAAAAGAAAATGGTATCCATTATATTCTTTTTTTCTTCATTAAAAGATTTATAAAAATTATTGAAAAAATTATTATTTATAAAGTTATTGGAATCTATAAGAAATAAAAAGACAAAAGGAATGGTTAGGAACTGAAATAATAATAATACATTCATATTATTTTTATTAGTTTTATTCATTTTTTTTGTAAAAAGTAACTTTTCAATGAAAAATTTTTCATTATTGCCATCTTGATCATTTCTATTTTGTACAAGAATAATTATATAATAACAAAAATAAATTATTTCTTCTATACTTTTTTCAGAAAAATTTTTCAAATATTTTAAAATAATGTTATTAATAATTTTTGTTTCATTATTAAAAAAAATATTTTTATTATTTTCAATTAAATTTATTATATTTTGTATAGAATTATCCTTTTCGTCAATTTCTGAATTTTGTGAATTCAATATTCCAGTTGATATATTAATATTTAAAAAACTTCTTTTATTTCTTTTATTTATATAAATTTGATAAAAATATATTAATATATTAAAATATTTTTTTGCATATTTTATGTAATTTTTATTTTCATTATTATTATTATTATTATTATTTCTGTTATTATTATTATCACTGTAGTTATTACTGTTGTACTTTGTTTCACCATATTCAGTATCACTATTAATGTCATTTAATATGTGTGTTTTCTTATTTTCATTTATTATATCATTTTTTTCTTTTATTTCTTTTCTTTTAAATTTTATTGTAAAAAATTCAAATTTCACAAGGATGTAGTAGTAAATTGTAAAACAATATTTTAATAAAAGTAAAAGATTCATGTGTAATTTTTTTTTTTCAATTTGAACAAATTTTATTTCTTTTAAGCATAAAAGTACAACTAATACAATAAGATAATAAATTAAATTCAAAATTTTCCAATTTTTTAAATGTAACAAATTCTCGTTTATTAATTTAATTGATCTTTTTATAAATTTGTTAATTAACAAAATCATTTCTGTTTTTAAAAAAATTTTTTTTTTTATTACAAAAATTATAGTTTTTATTATTTTTTTATATAAATGTACAAAATCAACATTAATTGAGTTATAAATTACTTCATCCATGAAATTATATAAGCATTTAAATAGTTTGGTATAAATTACTATTTTAGTATGTTTTTCAACAGTAATTTTAATATCCTTTTTAATTAAAAAATTATCATTGTAACTATTTAACATATTATTATGAATTATTTTTTGATAATCATCACTATTGTCTATATTTTCTTCATTATTCATAAAATTTCTTTCTGTATCTTCTTTCATATTTATTGAACCAGTAAAATCCCCTTCATTAATAATTTTCTTATTTACATATTTATCTTTTTTAAAACTGCTTTTAATTTCATTCTCATTGATATACCTAGATTTCTCTTCCTTTCCGTCTATTAAAATATCTCTTTTATATTTAACCTTATACTTAAATAACAAAAAAATATATTTTATACTTTTTGTTTGATTCTCAATCGAAAGAGATAGGAAACATTCTAAAACATTATTTAAAAATTCATAGAAGAAGTTATTACAATATCTAATTTTTTCAAAAAAAAAGTGATGACACAATTCTAAATTTAAAACTTTTAAAGAAGGTTTTTCTATTTTTAATGAATGAAATAAAGATGTTTTAATTTTACCAAAAAATACATCATAATTGACATTATTTAATAAATGATAAAATATTTTAGAAGAATAATTTCTTATATTTTTATCTTCATCTATAATACCAATTCCGTATATTTCTATAATTTTTTCTATATGATTATGAATTATATTTTTATTTTTCCTTATTGATTTAATTAATTTTGCATAATTTAACTGACGTATTTTATTTGAAGCATGATTTGTTTTCATAAATATAGAAATATCAAATTCATTTTCTTTTTCAATTTTTTTATTCTTTATTTTTGTTTTTTTAATACATTTTTGGTAATCTATTTTAGTTTCCTTAGATTTTTCTTTTTTTTTTTTTTCACTTTTTAATTTCAAGATTCTCATTTCGTTTCATTTTTTTATATGTAAATACAAATAAAATTATAAATATTAACTATTCTTCGTATTTTTAAATAGGTTTTTGTATTTTTTTCTTTATTTTTTAAATATATATTTCTATACTTATAAATTTTAAATGAAGTTTTTGGTGTTGTAATTTTATTTTTATTAAAAATTAACTCTCAAGAAAAATTTCAACTTATAATTAATTAAAAAATAAAATAAATATTATAAAACAAATTCTAAAATTTCCATTCAAAATATATATTATAAATTATTACAAGCATTTTTCTTTTTTTATCATATATATATGTATTTTTTTTTTGGGGGGGATTATATTTTAGTTGTTTATAAAAAATATATTAAAAATTTTGTTAATTTATTTGATTATTTTGTTATGTAGAAAATGATAAAAAAAAAAAAAATAAAATAAAATAAAATAAAATGAAATAATAAAACAATATACAATTGAACAAATTAGTATTTAATAAAAGTAATTTTGATGTTTTTGTTGCAAAAATGAATAAAAAAAAAAAAAAAAAAGAAAAAAGAAAAAAGAAAAAAGAAAAAAATATGTAGCTAATGCTTATAAATTGAAACACATTAAAATAAAAATATATTTATTATAATTTTAATAACCAAAAATTTTAAATTGATCTTTTAAATGTATTATGAATATATATGTAAATATATATATCTGTAATAGTGTGTTTTTATTTTACAATTTGAGTAATAATAATTTTATTTTGTTCGTAATTTTATATTTGTATTGTATACATTTAAAAACAATGAATAAAAAAAAAAAAAAAAAAAAAAATACAAAAAATAAAATATAAAAAATAAAAAGAACAATAAAGAAAAAATGTGAAGAAATATTTTACTTTTTATAACTAAATTTATTTTATTTTTTTATATTAAAATTTTAATATCTTATTTTTAAGTATTTTTTTTTTTTATATTTTTAATTTTTATTCTTTGTTCTTTTAATCCTTTTTTTATTATTTATTTATTTTTTTAATATTTTTAGCATTATTATAATTAAATAAATGGGTATTTCAAATTTGTTACCATTTTTAAAACCGATTATAAAAAGTTCACACATAAGTAAATATAAAAATGAAATTATTGGAGTAGATATAATGTGTTGGATACATAGGGGATTAATTAGTTGTGCCTTTGATATAATTACAGAAAACTTTAATAATAGTTATTTAAATTTCATTGAAAAAATGTTAGACATAATTAACTATTATGAAATAAAGGTAGTGTTTGTTTTTGATGGTGAAGAATTACCAGAAAAAAAAAAAGAAAATATAATACGAAAAAATAGAAGAGATAAGGCAAAAAAAGAGGCTCAAGAGATAATTAAAAAAGTCAAAAATCCGAGAAGTAATGAAATGGTTATAAAAAAATGTATTCAAGCGTTAAGTGTAACAAAAGAAATAATTGATAATGTAATTGACTTTTGTAAACGAAAAAATATAAAATATATTATTTCACCTTATGAAGCTGATGCACAATTGTCTTACCTTTGTAGAATGGGTTATATATCATGTGTTATCAGTGAGGATAGTGATTTGTTAGTTTATGGATGCCCACGAGTTTTGTATAAATTGAAAAATAATGGTGATTGTAATGAAATAAGTTTATTTCCGATTAATGATTTAATTGATTTAAATATCATTAATAAAATAAAAAATCCTTTTTCGAATTCTTTTAATGAATTTTATATTACTCCTATTAAGGAATTAGAAAAGAGTAATAAAAGAAAAAATTGTGAAAAAATAAATGATAAAGAAAAAAATTATGATAATATAATAAAAGATTATATAGAAAATTTTTGTTGGCCAGAAGAGTTAAATAAATTGAAGTATTTTAATATCGATATGTTTTTAGCTATGTGTATATTAAGTGGATGTGATTATACTAATGATTTTCATATAAATGGGATGGGTATTAAAACTGCATTTAATTTAGTTTACCAATATAAAAATATTAAAAATATTTTTCTACATTTAATATCTAACGAAAGATGGAAATATAAAATTCCTGAAAATTTAAATACAATAGAAAAATTAATGAATAAATATCATGAAATTAAAAATGCTTTTTTACAACATGAAGTGCACGATTTGGTTTTAAACGAAAATATTTCTATAAATAAATCATTTAAAAGTTCACTTAAAAATCCTAATAACTTAATTATTATTAATAGAATTTTAAAAGAATCCTTTAAAAATAATAATTTAACAGAAGAAAATAATTCTTTAATTAATAATACTAATACAAATTTAACACCAAAAAAAAATTATGAAGAAAATTCAGAAAATGAAAAGGAGAAGGAAAAGGAACAATATGAACATTTTTCATATTTCCCAAATACTTCTGGAAATATTTTTCAAAATTTTACGTCAGAATGTCTTGAGTATTTAGAAATATCTCCTGAATTATTAAGTAATCATAAAAATATTGAAAAATATAATAATTCAGAAAAAGAGATAAATAATGAAGAGACTGAAATTAATAAAAACGTTTCTCATAAAAAAAAAAAATTTGAAGAAACACAACATAAAGCAAATAAATGTTCTGATAAATTTATCGAAAATTCAAATCATTATAATTTAAATGATTTCAACAATATTTCTGAAAACAAAAATATAATATCAAAACTTGACTTTTTCGAAAAAAATGAATTAAATAAAGAAATTATTTTTTCAAACAAATACGAAAACATTGATAAAAAATCAAGTGAGACAACCCATGGATGTAATATAGAGGAAATAATTTGTTCAGAATCTAATAAAAGAAAATTGAAAAATATAGATCCTTATATATATAAAAAGGCAAAATTGTGTATTCCTCAAATGTATACAAATAATGAATCACAAGAAGATATATTAGAAAAAAAAATGAATTATAATAAAACATTAGTCAATGATAATCAAAATATGATATATGAACAAGATAAAATAAATTACAATTCAAATGGTTACAATTGTGAAGTAAAATTTAATCATAATATAAATAAATGTAATAATAAGAATGATGATGATGATGATGATAAATATAATATTGTTAATTATACTAAAAATGATAATATTATTAATGATAGAAAAAAAGTTATTAAAACAGAAAGTGCAAAAAATATTTATGAAAACATGAAAAAAAATTTTTTTCTTTTTAAACAAATAAATGAAAATGTAGAAAAACCAATAGAATCCTCAAAAGAAAAAACATTTTCAAAATGTGAATCATCTGTAGAGAAAGATGAAAATATTGAAATAAGTTTGATTCAAGAATATAGTGATATAAAGAAGAATGAAGAAGAAGATAAAGAAATTTTTAGAAATGAAATAAATAAAAATATAATGGAGAATGGAAGTGAATTAGAGAATAAAAACAAAATTAAAAAAGAAAACGAGTTAGATAAGCAAAATGAATTAGAGAGTAAAAATAAAATTAAAAAAGAAAACGAGTTAGATAAGCAAAATGAATTTGAAAATGAGACCATTATAGATATTAATTTAAATAAAAAAAAAGAAATAACAAAAAGTTCGTTGGTGAATAAAATTGAATCTTCTTTTTCTCCATTAAAAGGAAAAACTCCAATTAAAAGCGAAAAATGTAAAAGTCAATTAAGGATAACCAATTTTTTTAAAAAAGTTGATAAGAAGAATTGTAAGCAAAGTATATTAAAAAACAAAAATGAAAATTATAATATTAATAAAAATTGTTCAATTTCATTTAATAATTCTGTTAAATCAACTGAAGGATATATAAATTCATATTTCCCACCAATTAATGAACTGAACAACATTCAAGAAATAAAAAAAAAAAAAAAATGTGAAAGTAATACAATTCAAGTAAAAGATATAAAAGATTATTTTATAATGCCTATCAAAAACGAGGGTGATGATAATAAATCATTTTTAAATAATTTAAACCCTGAAAATAATTTAATAAAACGTAATAAAATTCCATTGCATCAAGATTATATAATTAACAATAAGGAAGATAAAACAAATACCAACTTAATAAAAAATGATAAAATGTGCAATACACCTACGAATGTTTCTTTAGAGAAAAACATAATAAATAAAAGCATATGTAAGAAATATTCAGATTTTAAAGAAAATAAATTATTTAAAGTAAATGATGATGAAAATAAGATTATAAATGAACAAAAAGAAAAAAATATAGGAAACCATAAAATAACCAAAAAATATTCTAATGAATTTTCTGATAAAAATAAAAATGAAAGTAAAGAAAAAACCAATGAAATTAATTTAGAATATATATTACAAAATTTAAACTATAATTACCAACCAAAAAATCAGAAAATTAATACTTTTGACTATTTTAAAGAAAAAGAAAATGTACCATATTATAATCCATATATTGATAATAATTTATAAAAAAGTAAAACCATTAAATATGTGTTATTTTTTTTATCTTCATTTTTTTTTTTTTTTGTCTTGTCTTTTTTTTTTCTTTTTTTTTTTTTTAATTTTATCTTGTTTTTTTTTTTTTTTTTTTTTTTTTTTTAAAAAAAAAAAAAAAAAAAAAAAAAAAGAAGATATTGTTTTTTTTTTTTTTGGA